GCGGTGATGGGGTCGGATGGGAACATGAAGATAAGCCTCTGTCAAATCTATGGAAGAAAGGAAATCTCCCTTTCTAATGCTGGCCAGAATGGATCTGAGGGACTGCATCTTGAACCTCCTGTAAGTTAGGAAGTAGTTTAGTCCCTTCAGATCCAAAATCACCCTCCAACCCGAGGCCTTGGGGACCATGAACAGAATGGAGTAAAACCCCTTTCCCCTTTGGTCCAGAGGCACTGGTTCTATGGCCTCTATTTCTAACAAGTGGGATATGGCCTTGGATACTAACTCAGCCTTGCCTGCGTGCCTTGAAGATAGGCACTGAATGAAGCGGTCTGGAGGAATGGATATGAATTCTAGGGCTAGACTGAATCTTATGGTCTCCCTTACCCAGGTATCGTTGGTGGTGACCTCCCAATTGTCGCTGAACAAAGCTAAGCAACCGCCTATAGGAGGATCCAACTTGGCGTCACTTAGACTTCCTGTATGGGCCGCCCCCAGCCCCTCGGAAGGGACGCTTAGATTGGAATTGACCCCTGGTTCCTGAACTTTGGTGGTCCTGTTGCGATCCTGTCTGGGGGAGAAGGATCGGGAACCTCTTGGCCAATCCCAGGACTGCCCTGTTCGAAAGGGCTGCCTCCATTCCCAGGAACTTCCAGCACGAAAGGACTGCCTGCGAAATTCCTGTTGGGGTCTCCTATCCGCCTTCTTGGAGGGGTGAGCCAAGGTCTTTTGCTTGTCCTTCCCCTCTATGAGGTACAGTTCCAGGACCGGACCAAACAGGTGAGTACCACTATAGGTGGCAGTAGCTAGGCGCCACCTTGATTTTAGATCAGCCCTCCACTGTTTGAGCCACAACAGTCTGTGTGATGCTAGCGTGGCCGCAATAGATCTAGCGGAATACTTGGTCGAGTGGAGGGATGCATCTGCCATATACTCCACTGCAGCCACTAGCTTACGTAAGGTCTGTTGTGCATGCACCTGATCTGGAGGAATTAGAGCTTGTAACTCACAGAGCCACATAATGGAAGTCCTCGCGAAAAAAGACGAGGATGTTGCTGCCTTGATTGCCCAAGCCGAGGTCTGGTGAGCTCTGCAGAGAGAAAACTTGAACCTTTTGTCTTCTGCTTTAAGAGCTTCCACCATATCTCCAGGAATCGTGGATGTGGAGAACAGTGAGGTTAAGGGAGTGTCCACTGTAGGTACCTCTAGGAGGGAAGAAAATGCAGATGAGACGTTGAACAGCTTCTTTTCCATGCTATTGGGTGGAGGCAGAGTGCCCAATGAAGCCCACTGCTTCTCCACAGTAATGCGGAAAACAGCCGGACAAGGGACCTGTTTTTCCTCCACAACCTGTACTGCAAACAGTGGATTGGACTCCTGTGCAGTGGAGGTAGATGGTTTAGGCTTCTGTTCTGTAACCAAATTGGCCATAGTGCAGGCCTTTAACAGTAGTGACCTAAACAGGGAAGGATCAAAAATGTTGGAGTCGGATCCGGGGCCACCTCTTCATCCTCTGACATAGGTATGTCAGTTGTCTCCAGGTCCACAGACTCCACTTCACCTAGCTGAAACGAAGTCTCAGAAATACCCGAACCTGCTAACTGGACATGCCCAGTATGACTTATGGGCAAGGGTGGAGGAGGCGGTAACTGTGAAGACCTTTGACCCATGGAAGATGTCATAAATTGGTCAAAGGTCTGGTGCATAAATGTCTGGAACTGCTGTGCCCATAAGTTTTGCTCTGCAGAACCAATGCCAGCTGCAGTGGCTTCAGGAGTCTGAGGGGTGATGGGAGCAGAAGAAACCGAAGGAGTAGGAGGAGGAGGTGGAGGAATAGGAGGGAGGGGGGAGACCAACCTGCTCAGTTCCCTCTTGAGGAGACCAAGCTCTGGGAGCTTGATAAGATGGCACCAGTGGAGGCTCAAATGGTGATCTATCCAGTGAAACAGGGAGAACCACTTCTGTTTTGCTGAACCTGAGCCTTTGAACTCTGGAGAATTCTTTCTCCAGTGCCTGATGTCTCCTCGAGGCCTCTCGCTCAGCAGTCTTGGAGGGTTCTTTGGTGGTTAAATGCTTGGTCTTAGCCTTTTTCTTTCCCCCCATGCTCAAATCAGAAGATCTGCATTTAGATTGTGTGGGGGGAACATCAGAACCCTGCAATGTCTGAGGAGTTTCACTATCTGCCATTGCGCCCTGAACAACCGCAATGAAAAACAGCCAGACAGCTCCCTAGAACTGTCCACTTAGGCCCTGCGACACAGCGCCGTGAACTAATAAGAACAGGTCTTCCAAAATTCTCCCTTAGAATTAATTCAGCCAATAGTATGTAGTGATCAAAAGTTATCTCTTAATGAGGCTCACACCTCCTTTCTGGTGAATCCTTATAGGATAATGATATTTAAATATGTTTTATAAACCCCCTTGAGAGTCTAGCGTAGCCGGCTACTGTAAAGAGAAAACGGCCAGATCGAGGCCTCAATCCACGTTGCTTCAAAATGGCGGCCACACCCAGTGTAGGAATCAAAATGGCAGCCGTTAGTCTCTTGCCGCCCAAAATGGCGACGTCATAGAGAATTTCAATCAAGCCTCCGCAAGCCTCCTTTCTGCTCTCGGAGCCCAAGGGAACTTTAACAACTGAATCTCTATTTCCCCTTTTTTATTTATACGGCAACAAGACTTGCAGATTACGTTGCGCAGCCCTCACTGTGATCAGATCCTTGTCGGAGCCTCGTGGTAGGCAGGCGGCAGCACAGCCGGCCGTTCCGATCGCTTCCCGAAGCACCGACGATGGAACCCCGTCATTTTTTCTCATTCGGAAACCTCCGTCGTTGCGAAAGACAGGTGGGGAGAGCTGAATTGACGAACTCCCTTGCGCGGCTCCAATCAATCCCCGGAGGCCAGGCAGACCTCCTGGCAAGATAGCTCTAACTCTATCTAAATCCTTCTAACTTAAACAACTACACTGTCAAGTAAATAAAGTAAATTCTAAAACAAAAACTCACCGTTCCTATCCTAAAAAACAACTCTTTGAATTATCCTAACTGAGGAGCTACAAATTTTGTGTCCTACTGAGCTGAGACTAAGACAAAACTGGGGAAAGGACCACCCAAGGGAGGCGTGGCTAAAGTTCTGCCTTAGTCTCAACTGAGCAGGAAGGCTAAGATTACCCACCGGTGGATGCTACATCTATCATGCTGGAGAACTCTTGTGGGCACACAGGGACTTTGACTTATGACACGTTGGACCCCCTCCCTCGGGCTCAGCCTGCTTATCTCCTGCATCATGTGGTTGTGAAGCAAATCTGACTTCCCTCATTGATTTTACTTGTCAGAAGCTGGTTGGGAAAGTCATAAATGCAATCACATAACTCCTGGACACTGCAACCATTGCAAATGCTTGCTAGTTGCAAAGCATGACCGTGTGTATGCTGTGGTGGTTGCAAGTGTGAGGACCAGTAGTAAGTCACTTTTTTCAGTGCCATTGTAACTTTGAATGGTCTCTAAACAAATGGTTGTAAATCAGGGACTGTTTTTTTTTTACAATTTTGCAAGCAATTCTGGGAAATTTTACTACTTTGAAGGATGACATACAAATGTTTTAATAATTGTATGCATTTTTAAGGATGGGCAAGGTTCACCATAGATTTGTTTTGTTCCAAGAAAAGGACTTACAATTACTGTTTACATCCAAGAGTGTGGCATGTGAACAGATTAGGAGAAAGAAAGAACATGTTAAGATGGATGACCGTGCTCTAAGTTGCAGAGTTTTAATTATCTGCCTGTTAATTCAAGTAGAATTAGAATGGATTATTAGATAGCCTGTGTCTTATGGGTACTGAATAATGGTGTGTTTTATTACCGTTACAATTGCTTATTTTTTATTAGTGTCTCATGCTTAAGCTGGCTTTGTAATTGACATGACTGATGAAGAAGCACACGTAAGCCATGTTTGTTTATTATTGCTATTTGACAGACTCTTCTGAGCTTGGAAGTTATATTATTTTTAACAATGCAGTATATGCCATCTCCTACCTAGGTACTGCAATAAATAGACCCAAAGCTACTCTTCAAAAGATGATCAAAGATTAGCTGTCAACCTTCAAGGTCACAAGAAGATCATCTAGAACCTGCCTGCCTACTTGATTACAACTTCCTTAACAATCTTCTACACACAAACCCAGAGATTTCTGCTTACTGATATATTATTGGGAGACACTGACCAGATTTATATATCACAACAATGCAGGATTTGTACAAGCCACTGTCTTAGTTCACATACTCCAACTGAACAAGTCATCTTTTTACTTAGTGCAGGGTTTGAACTCAGTTAAAAAATGCAAGATTTTGTATCAAATAGCAGCAGAGTGAAATTTGATGCATTCATGGCACACACAGAGAGAAGGTAAATGAAAACACTGCAGTCCTCACTTTCTTCTAGGCACAAGCAAATAATTTTTAATCCCACCATTATGTTTTTAATAACTCAAGGCGGCAAGCATACCTAACACCCCTTCCTCCTATTTTCCCCACATCAAACCTGTGAAGTAAGTTGGGAGAGAGAGGGGGGGACTGGCCCAAAGTACGCGGTCAGCTTTCATGCTTAAGGCAAGACTAGAACTCACAGTCCCCTGGTGATTCATGCCTAAATGGGAGTAGAACTTCTAGTCTCCTAGTGATTGGCCCAAAGTCACTCAATTGGCTTTCATGCCTAAGGTGGGACTAGAACTCACAATCTCTTGGTTTCTAGTCACTAGACAAAACACACCCTGGCAATGGAGTGGTTTTTTACTGCTTTCTGAGTTAGACCACATCAGGAAACAGACTCCGACACATATACTGGAATTCTACTGATATAGGCTATGATTACACTATCTTGAAAGCTTGACGGAGTTTCCCTTCCCTCTCTCTTATACCAAAGAGAATTAAGGTAAAATCAGTTTAAGTTTCTTTCTATCATTCTCTTCCTTTTGAGGGCTTAAGTGATATTTTGTTAACTACTACCTTCCATTTCCAAGATCATCTCGGTGGTTCACTAGAATAGGTTTCACGATGTTCCTGATCTCACCTCCGTTCTTGGGTGGTGTGCCACTCTATTCCTGGAAATGCAAAATAGCCAATGAAGGATCAAAACGAATAAATTGAAGGATGCTAACATAATCCCATCAGGCAGCTGCAATGGAGCAAATTAGATGCAGACAATCTGGCAATCTCAAAAAAATGTGGACTACAATTCTCACAGCTTTTTGCCACAGGCCGTGTTAGCTGGGAAAGCTGAGGGTCAATGCTTCTCCAAAACACCAGGTTGGCAGAACCATCAACAAATGCCTTCTGCCAAGAAGCTTTGGAAGGAGAAACAAGAAATATTGATTTTATCCAACTTAAAAAAAAAACCCTCCATCCAACAGTCAGATAATTTAGCAAAACCTCCAGTGAAAAAAGAGACAGATGAGAAGTTCACTGTTTAGACACCTAAATTCTACAGCTGTTTGTGGTTTTCTGGAGCTGGTTGATTTTCTTGATGTTTCCTTCTTGATAATTATCTAGGATTTCTATTTTGCACAGCCTCACGTTTACATTAGTCCATCATCGTTGTGAAAACGGTAGAACCTGATTCTGTATTAGCCCTTGAATGGAGCCCTTGTAAGGTAAGATTCAGAAAGAAGCGGACTCACTCAAAACAAGACTGAGAGCCAGTGTAGTATAATGCTTAAGATTTTAGATTTGGATCAAGAAAAACCTAACTGTAACCCTAATGTTGATTCTCCTCAATCATAGACCCCATTGGGCTTAGTCCAAGCTACTTCATAGGATTTGGGAGGAACAGAAAAAAAATGCAATTGTAATTAATAGGACAAGAGAGTTGGAAGGGACCTTGGGGTCTTCTAGTCCAACCCCCTGCTCAAGCAGGAGACCCTATACAGTATCAGTGGTGGCGAACCTATGGCACTAGTGCCAGAGGCAGCACTCAGAGCCCTCTCTGTGCGCACACATGCTGTTGCCCTAGCCCTGCCTCCCCCTGTAGCCCCCTCCTCACCAGCAGCCCCCCCCAGAGAAGAGTCACCTCCGGGTGCAGCCCAAGCACATGGCAACTGGGCAGCAGATGATGCTGTGAGGTGCGGTGGAGGACGTGGCCACCATGGCGCTGCAGGGCTGCCTGGGCGATCTGCGGCGTGCCATGGATGGCTCTGAGGGTGGGAGGGATGAGGACAGAGCAGGGCGGGAGCGGGCGGGCGGAGTGGGGGTGGGCTGGTTTTTGGGCACTTGGTCTCTAAAAGGTTCACCATCACTGCCCTATATCATTCCAGACAAGTAGCTGTCCAATCTAAAAAAAAAATTAAAGCTAACAGTAAAGTGTGTTTCAATTTTTTTTTTCAAGGTTTATATCTTTTTCGCTCCCCTTCTTTAAAAAAGAAATTCCTTCTTCCACCATTATATTTACATCAAATCTGGGCAAATCTCTTTCCTATCTTCCTTTAATAGTGTGTGGGAATGACCTTGAGATGGGGGAAGAGATGCTGCCTAGGGAAGAATCAGATAAGAGGGCGCATAGCCCACAGATGTATAGTGGGCAGAATAAGATGTTCAAGAGGGATCCTCCCTACGTTATGAGGCCATAAAGTTAACAGCCAAAGAACTGCATATTCAGACTAGCTAGATTCTGTTAAGGTAGCATTACAGTACAGTAAAATTAGCTTAACTGGTCATGTTTCCTGACTATTCTATCTTGTAAGCCTGACATCTCCTGTCTCTGCCAGCCCTGTTTTCCAGGTTTTCCCCATAGCCTCTGCAACCCTGGAGCTAGCTAAGAGATCTAAAGTGTAAGGCAAGCTGCTGTATGCTGCCACACAAAAATGAGACATGAGTAATGGGGAAGCAAACGTCAACCAAGTCAAATGAAAAGCCAAGTGAGTTGCTGCTCTCACCCAGGAAGCCCCCAAGAGGGTTAGAGACACAAACAGATTCTTGTTCAAAAGGGATTTTTTGCAAGCAAAAATCCTTCCAACAGTGAATCTTCCTAGGAAGACAACCAGCAGCCTCCTTAGCATGTTGTACAATGTCTGCCAGTGCTAGCGTTCATTTCATATCAGAGGCAGGTCCCAAAAATCACAGTTCAGAGTCACCAAGTGATTTCTTATTCAAGGAAGTCTGTGGAGACAGAGGGTATCAAAAACAGACAGCTACAGTTATATGGTCAAATCATCATCTTAAATTTCTTTCGGCCATCACCATCCCATAACAGTCCACAAATTGTCTTAATCCCAATGAAAAGCTGGGCTGGAGGTAATCCTTGACATATGACAAAAACTGAGCCCCAAATTTCTATTGCTAAGCCAGACAATTAGTGAGTTTTGCTCCATGACTTTTTTTGCCACAGTTGTTAAGTGAATCACTGCAGTTGTTAAATGAATCATGTGGTCTTTAAGTGAATCTGGCTTCCTACATTGACTTTGCTTTATTGGAAGCCAGCTGGGAAGATCACAAATGGTGATCACATGACCCAGGACAGTGCAACCATCATAAATACATGGCAGATACGAAGCACACAGATTCTGATCACATGATGGCTGTAAGTGTGAGTCATAAATCATAAGTCACTTTTTCCCATTCACTTCAAACAATCACTAAACTAATGGTTGTAAGTTGAGGACTACCTATATTTTTTTTTTCTAAGCAGAAAACAGGCATGGAAAATTACCTTGCAACCGGCTTCCCTTCAGCAGCTGTCTCCTGCATACATTTACTCAGCAAAAACCTAACCTTCAAGTGCTAAGTAAATCAATGCACCATGCAGCTGGTAATGTTTAATTGCGGACAAGGAGAAACTGGGTTTGGTTTGTTCTTTACTAATGGGAGAACAGGATGTTACAAGCAGAGACAAGCGTCCTCATTTTCACCCAGGAAATTCTGATCAGGGCAAGAAACATCAGTACAATCTCTGCTCAGAGACATATAGGATGAATGGTGAACATAGGAGTGAGCAGGCAGAGCGCAGCTTATAAGGCAGTGGTTCTCAACCTTTCTAATGCCATGACCCCATAATACAGTTCCCCATGTTGTGGTGACCCCCAAGTGGGTGTGGCCACCAATAAGAGGGAGTAGGACAGCTAGGGAAAAGGGAACAAAATGGTGGACAGCATGGTTTGGCGACCCCCATGAAATGGTCGTTCAACCCCAAATGGGGTCCCGACCCACAGGTTGAGAACCACTGTTATAAGGTAAGATAACCTTTATTGTCATTTTTTTACTGTGGGCACAACGACACACATCAAAAATGAAATTTAGTTGCCCACTCTCAAAGTGAAACACATACATGACACACACCTAAGCATACTATGTACAACATATGTATAGACCCACATCCCTACATATACATAACAAATAAATATTAAATATTGTCCATCTTGAGTATATTAATGGAAGGAGGAAGCTTGAGAGTTCGCAAGGTTAATGCTGTATGAAATAAAACTGTGGCTGAATCTGGATGTTCTGCTACGGATACCACGAAGCCTCCTCCCAGAAGGTAACAAGGAAAACAGGTTGTGAAGAGGATGTGTAGTGTCCCAGATAATCTTATGGACCCTGCTCAAGCAGCCCTTCTGTGCTATGTCCTGGATGGGAGGGAGGGAACTGCCAATGATCTTTTCGGCCATTCTCATATGAGATCTGTTCTGTTCTTTGCATTGATAAGGCATTGAAACGAGGCAGGAGTAACAACAGATGCTTCTTTATTTCAGCTTTAACAGAACAACACAAAATGGCTCTGCTCCCTTTTATACCTTCTGCAGGGAACAGCGTCAGCCAATAAATGCAATGTTTTTTCCCACTCTGCACATGCTCAACAGGCTGGAGACAGCCTGTCTGGCCCGGGCAGGTCACATGGTCTGCCCAGGTCTCACTGCAGCTTCCTGCACCTGCTCTGTTAATCACAGGCCCAGGACATAACAAGATCTGTTTCATTTTCTTGCTTTACTAGAGCTTAAAACTCAGAAGCAGGTACAAAAGTCACTTATTTTATATATATAGAAAGGCCTTATCTATTTATTTATTATTCTGTGCTGAAGTTTGCATTGCAAGTAGTCCTCCACTGATGACCATAAGAGAGCCTGCTTTTACGGTTGTAATTCATGATGGTTGTAATGCAGGTCATCACGTGATGGACCTGATTTTACAATTTTATTTTGCAGCAATTGTTAGGCCTGGAGTCTAAAACATATGAAGAATGGTTGCAGGAACTGAGTATGGCTAGTCTAGAGAAAAAAAGGACTAGGGGGGACATGATAGCAATATTCCAGTATTTGAGAAGCTGCCACAAAGAAGAGGGGGGTCAACTTATTTTCCAAAGCACCTGAAGGCAGGACAAGAAACAATGGATGGAAACTAATCAAGGAGAGAACCAACCTGGAATTAAGGAGACATTTCCTGACAGTAAGAACAATTAACCAGTGGAACAGCTTGCCTTCAGAAGCTGTGGGTGCTCCATCACTGGAGGCTTTTAAGAAAAGACTGGACAGCCACCTGTCTGAAATGGTATAGGGTCTCCTGCTTGAGCCCAAGTCCTGGTTGGGCTAGAAGATCTCCAAGATCCCTTTCAGCACTATTCTGATTGAAGTCACTATGACTTCATAGTGGATCCACAGTTATTAAACAAACCCATTGTTTGCTATGAAGTGTTTTTTTCTCAAAACCTAGAAGTAAATGCCAGGTTTCGGCAAAATCATCATAAATTGTAGTCATGTGACCTCGGGATGCTGTAGTCATAAATGCGGGCTGGTTGCTGAGCACTCGCAATGCAGTCATGTGACCATGGGGGAATTGGCTGTCAGAACCAGATAATAAACCTTTTGGGGAGGGGGTTCCGCTGTAAATGAATGGTTGATAAACTGCTATGCCACTAAGTCAAGGACTATATGCTGTTGTTTTTTAATCCAGCTTCTGAGATCCACAATGGAAGGTGGTCATATAACAATATAGAGACATTAGCAACGAAGCTGGAGCTAATTTTGTTCCCTAGTTTTCACTCATGCAATTTGGGAGAAGGATATTTATAGAGCAAAAAAAGAAAAGAAAAAAAATAAGAAAAAGAATAGCGGGAAAA